CACCTCTTCTATGTATGTTGACAATTTTATTTGCTTGTTGATGTTTACTTTTGTGAAGAAAACCTGTGATTATAAAACCCCAAAACTGGAAATAAAGACTAAAACAAGCACAATTACAAACTACATCTACTGTAGTGTTATCACAAATTATTAAGTTATTTGCTTTTTATGTCATATAATAAATATGATTTTGGTCTGTGAGAGAAAACTGGAGAACAGAAAGTTGATGTAGTGACCTTCTTCATTAGAAACAATGTTGCTCTACCAACTGTACTGCCTCATTTTATATTTATTGTATAATTATTAAAAATTTTAATATTTGATTAAAATATATCTATGAATATAACCTCATGAGAACCTCCATCTTTATTTGAAAACATTGGTTTAAGACTGGTCTGGTTGTCCTTATTCAGAGGTGCTACATTTTAATTTAATTTTTTATTTTAAATAAAATATAAATTAATGTTTTTAACTCTTAATTGTTAAAAAAATCAGTGTTTGTTTTTATATTTATGAGGTTCTATTCCTAAATAGGTAGGAGAATTGGCGCCACTGACGGACTGTTCCATGGTCCAAACTAAATGTCCACGCAGAACAAAGCTGTTCATGTTGGTCAATCAAACTGGAGTCAAATATCTAATTGAGCTGTGCTGAAGTGTTGTTGTTTCTTCCAGGGGGGTGGGCTGCATTTTCATTGAGATGATCCAAGGAGTGGCTGCCTTTCCTGGCATGAAGGACATCCAGGACCAGCTGGAGCGGATATTCCTGGTGAGTCCTGCTGGCAGCATTGTTGAAATCCTCCAAATGAGCAGCTTTTCTCTGATCACCTGTCTGATATCTGCGACAAGGAGAAGTGTTTGAAACACTCACACTGAGGCTGAAGTAGTTCTGCGCACGTCCCAGATCAAGTTATGAAATGACAAACGTGCAGACCACATCCTGAACACAGGTCTGATGGATCTGACAGCGCATTAAAGCAAAGTCGTCTCTCACTGAATCCAAGGCAGGGAGTGAAAGTGTGTTTTTAATCCAGATTTATAAGCATCCAGTGAGGAAGTCTGCCCAACAATTTAATCTGCTCCACTGATATTATTGGTCCTTCACTTTCTGATACGTTGGGGGAACATGAACCGTTGCTTGGTCCCAGAGGCAGGCTGATGGTCTGTTGATGTGTTTTCTGCACACACGGGCACATTTTCATTTGTCAGTTCTTACTGAAATGTCTGAGTGAGCTGCGGAGCTGACCAGGTGTCTGGTTGGAGTCTCAGAGCACCAGCGACAAGCAGGAGCTGCATCATCCCAGACAAAGAGATGAAACCAGAATCATCACCTTAAACACAGGAGCGAGTAAACCAGCAGGAGGACAGCTCAGTCCCTCAGCTACCTTTGTGCTGAGAACACGTGTAATCACTTACCGCACGGGTTTCTCTGCATTAGATGATTGGTTCTATGTAAATATTTCATACTAGTGTGGACGCTCATAAATCCTTTAAAATTCAGATCTGCCATCCATCCTTCTAATTTCATCCCCGATCTTTTAATTGAGGCACAGTGGAACGTAATGGATTTCTATCTGCTGGCTGCACGGGCCTGAATAATTCATGTCCAAAAACGACAGAGATGAGAGCATGAAATGAGTTCAACGAGGGGAAAAATCCGAGCGTGGAGACAAAGTGTGCTCGCTGTTGTTTGGCCTCTGGGCTGAAGGCTAAAGATGGGAGGCTGAGATTGGCTGGATTTGGGATGAAGGGCTAAGGAAAGGTGGAGGAGGTCCCCGCAGGTAGAGGGTCTCTCATGGTGAAGAAAAATGCTTCTTATTGATTGACTTTACTGCCTGAGGGGGGGAAGAGGGGGGGCCCCTGTGAGAGGCTGCAGCCTTTAGTTCATCCACCTCTCAGACACAAAGACACAGGCGGAGTGTGTGTGTGTGTGTGTGTGTGTGTGCTTATCACTGTTTTCAGGATTTGTTTTCAGTCATTTCTGACACCAGTGTGAAGGTTTATCAGACATCTGGTCGCTGCAGAAATGTAAAGTCAAGGTTAGAGTGAGCTGGCTCCACCTGACCAGGTCTGTAAGGGACCAGAAGAGATCCATCTGACTCTGGGCTCATCAGTTTTTCAGTTCTTGCCCCAGAGAAGGGAGCGGTGGTGTCAGAACACTCCAGTAAAAAGTGCTTTTGTTGTTCTGCTGATGGATTTTAACTTCTTTGTTTGGATTTTGATACCATTTTTTGAATCATTCCCAAACTTTGTTTTGTTTCTTTGTACGAATCTTTGGTACTTTAAGTTGCTGAATGTATTTTTTTTTGTCTTCTTTCATGATCGTAGGCACAGCTCTGTGAACACACACACACACACACACACACACACACACAC